GGTAAAGAGTGGCAGAGTATCTTTCTCATGAAGCCATTGACTAAATTGACAGTGAGGGAAAACAAGAATAAGCAAGCGGTGGGTAAGAGGGTAACACAAGCCACATTTAGCCTCAGGGGCACCATGTGCTGAGAGTTACTAAAGCAACTGGATTAGAATCAGGGCTTTTTTTGTAGAAAAAGCCCAGCAGGAACTCATTAGCACAATAGGCCACACCCAACAACAGAAACTCATTAGTATATCCAGTCACACCCATGAGAGCATAGCTCATTAGTATATTAGGCCACACACCCCATGTTACCAGAAGTATAGTCATCCAGCCACACCCACCTTTTGCTTCTTATTCTGTTTACCTTGTTTGTTGTCAAAACCCAGGGCTTTTTTGTAGCAGGAACTCCTTTGCATGTTAGGCCACACCCCTAACGTAGCCAATCCTAATGAGTTTCTACTATTGGGTGTGGCCTATTATGCTAATGAGTTCCTGCTGGGCGTGGCCACCTTGGGAGCCAGCCGGAACTCCGTTCCTGTGCGTTCCTGCCCAAAAATAGCCCTGCCTCCCCCCCCCCAAACTTAGGGTCTCCAACCTTCTTCATAGGTTATTTTTGGAAATATCCTCATTTTCCAAAAGCAATCTTGTAGAGTTGTAAGGGATAGCTACACAGGATAAGTTATTGTCATAAAGCACGTCCTTGAAAAGGTAACTTCTCATACATGTTACCTCTTCACAGGTAGGAACTTTATTTTCGTTCTCCTTGATCTTGTCCCAGAGTGGGGATTCCACTTTCCATGCCAGGCTCTCTAAAATTTGCTCTTCGATATGATTCAGGTGCTTCACCACTTCTCTGCAAAGGCCATCTTCAGCTCTAATTAGAATTTCTATTACCTGCAACAAAGATTAATAAGAACATAAGAGAAGCCAACGTTGGATCAGGCCAATGGCCCATCCAGTCCAACACTCTGTGTCACACAGGGGCCGAAAATACCAGGTGCCATCAGGAGGTCCAGCAGTGGGGCCAGGACACTAGGAGCCCTCCCACTGTTGCCCCCCCAAGCACCAAGAATACAGTGCATCACCTGTCCCAGTCTGTGAGTCCCTATCTATACCTTGTGGCTAATAGCCACCTCTGCTCCACATGTTTATCCAATTCCCTCTTGAATCTGTCCATGCTTGTAGCCGCCGCCACCTCCTGTGGCAGTGATTACAGGTTTAAATACTGAGCACACTTGATTCCATTTATTTTTTATTATAAATTCAATACCTTTTTTATGTGAAAGATGTTAATTTTATTAGGGCGGTGGTAGAAAGTTCCATCAAGTCACAGCTGAGCTATGGTGACCCCGCAGGTTTTCAAGGCAAGAGAAGTTCAGAGGTGGTTTGCCATTGCCTACCTCCTGGTCATGACCCTGATCAATGCCCCTTCCAAGCTACGGAGCCTTGTGAGCAAAAAATGCTACTTTGTGAGCTACTGGCATTAAAGTTGTGAGCGAGCGATTTGGCTACAGCTTGAATTAGTTTGCTCTGGAGCCATCCTTCCCGAGCTAAGACAAAAACATGTGAGATGGAGGCTAAAAAACTATAAGCTGGCTCACACTAACTCAGCTTAGAGGGAACACTGACCCTGATATTACTTGGAGGTCTCCCGTACAAATACTGGCCAAGGCCAATAAATCGAATTTGATAAATAAAATAGTAAACCCTGCTTTGCTTCTGAGATCTAACAATATCTGGCTAGCCTGGGCTATCCAGGTCAGGCCAAACATTTATTAGTAGCAAATTGTAAACACTCCCTCTTTCTCTGGAAGTCAACCCCAAGGATGGTCAAAAGAATTTACCTTATAAAAGTGAAAGGCGGGGACATCAAATATATCAGTGATTAATGGGAAACTATCCGCTGACTTGTAAGAGTAAGTAATTATTTCAAGGCAGCAGGCCAACAGAGATCTGTGAAACACGTCATGTTCCAGTATTGCCTGCAATGAAAAAGGACATTAGCAAAGTAAGCAATCAGATTAGTTCAGTAAAACATGGTTCCCCTGGAACTCTGTTTAGCTGCAAGATATAATACAGTCCAGTGGCACTTTGAAGACTGATGACATGAAGTTCACTCTGAGCTTCCATGCTACAGATCCTCTCTTCAACTGGCACTGCAACCCCTCTAAAGTCTCCACCCCCCTCCCACTCGCAAACTCATGATAACTGCTGCGTGCAACTTGCACAGGGAACAGGTGGGAGGTGGTTAGAGGGGAGCTGTGACTGCTCTAGTAAAAGGGGAAAGCAGTTTTGGGGATGCACTGTTGGAAACCGAAAAGCCGTGCAGACTGGCAGTGCAGGTGTGCACAGGGCTCGGTTTTGATGGGGTGCAAGGAGACAGCATGGAGGGATCGTGAAGGGGTGTCTCAGCCCAAGTGATGGCTATTCAGAGCAAGCCCATCAGCTGGACCATCCTGTTCCCCCTTTCGTGGGGGCTAAAATGTCAGCTCTATAACATGCGCTTGCATGGGCGTCTGCATTGCAGTTTCTCCCACTGCCAGTTTATGCATATCGCCATCTGATCACGAGCTCTTCCGGTGACTTTGGATGAGGGCAGACACTGCCTGATTATTCTGAGGAAACTGGGCCACTTCTCAAAGATGTGTTAACGCAGCAAAGTCTTCTTCATAATGCCAAAATCCTGTTGTTTAAAACAATCACAGTAGGAATTATGTGACTTAACATCTGCATGTCAGAGAACTGCACTGCATTATTCCTCTTGACAGAGGTTACGGGATATTTATGGGGATGAATACAAGAGATGTTACCTTACCTTTGGGAAAGGTGCCAGGTTCTCCCTGAGCCTGCGTCCTCTGGCAATAAGTTTCATACATTTCTTTCACTCTGTTGGCAATCGACAAGGAAGGATCTCTAGAACACGCCCTGTCAGGGAACAAACGCATAAAGTCTCGGTTTGCTAACGAAACAGAAAGAGATGATGCGGTTCCTCATGATGACACAACAGTCTTCGTAGAAATATTTACTGGCAACAGGACTTTGTATTTACGTTTGCAAGTTTTCATTATTGCTGTGTTTTATCACTTCACTGGTTCTGCCATGACTGCTGTAGTATATTAACGCCAGCTGTCAATGCCACTGTTCATGGGCAAGGGAGAGAGGCGGTGTTCCTTCTAAGCTGAGTGAGTGTGAGCTAGCTCACAGCTTTTTAGCCTCCGGCTCACTCATTTTTGTCTCAGATCAGGAAGGATGGCTGCAGAGCAAACTAATTTATGCAGTAGCCCAATCACTCGCTCACAGCTTTAATGCCAGTAGCTCACAAAGTAAAATTTTTGCTCACAAGGCTCCACAGCTTAGAGGGAGCATTGGAGAGAGGGTCCTTCAGAACAATAAGTGCTGCATGTAACAGCAACGGTCTGGCAATCAAGCAGGTATCCAAATCTGCACAACTGGGCCAGACATAGCTGTGATATAGGAGCCTGCAAATGCAGGGGAATCCACAAGGTTGCAGAAAAATTTAAATTTGTTAAAAAGCTAATTTGGCAATACCCCCCCCCCCCCTCTCCCCGGCAACATTTTTATAGGTGTTGCAGGCAAACTGCTTGATTTTGGGCAGCATTCTTGTGTCTGCCTTAGCAACCCAAAATGTGCAGCTGGAATGGTAACCAAATAAGATTGGAAGAAAAAAATAAGTAAAACAACTGTGCACGTAGTGCCAATGTACAAAAAGTTGTACCTGAGCACTCCACTGGAGCTTTGAGCATCTCTGATTGGACCTAGGAAGATACATCTTGATAAATTGCCCATGCTGTATCACAGGGAAACTCGACACCACTTACTCCATGGGTGAACAGCTTAGTGTGAGTAATGTCTATTCTGTATATGATCAGTTTTATGTATGGTTTTGCTAAATTAATGGAGTGCTCCGTTTTACATATACCACTGAGGAAGGCCAGGTGCTGAAACGCATTTGGTATTGGTTCTTGCATATGGAGACAATAAGTACTTTTAAACCTGTATTTATGTAAAGAGTCGGATTCGACTGGCTTTCGAGCAAGGGAAACCTTTACCTATGTACTGTAACTGTTTTTAATTTGTTTTGATAGCAGGTGTTTGGGAGGAGTTGATTTTAATTGTTTTAAAATGTGGGCTCCCCCACCCATGTATACTTTAAATTGTTAGCTGCCCTGAAGGCCCATGAGGGCAAAAAGTCAGGATATACATTTTGTAAATAAATAAATAAATAACAATATGCCAGCTGTATAATGTAAGCACAAGGCTCTATAATGACATCCCCCCCAATCCATATTATAACTGATAGTCACATAATTTTCAAAAACTGAACACAGAATTATTTTGCTGACCTGAGAATTTGCTCCAGATTTTCACTGGGTGCGTTTTTCAGCCCAGTCAGCATTGTATGAAGCCGGGTCAAGCTGTACGTAGCAATGGAAATGGGACTCACACAAGGGTCGCTCTCCTTTATGTACTTTCGGCCAGTAAGAGGGGTAGCTATTCCAACTGATTTGGTCTAATACCAAACAACAACAAATGTGAAAAGCATTTCAGGAACGAAAAGTTACTGCAGTCATATATATGTTGAGTTATTTACTGTTAATAAGGCCACGGCAATCTTAACATAAAACACATAGGAATAATATACCTGCTCATCTAATACAGCACTGGTGATAAGGGAAACCATTCCCATTCCATGGACAAAATCATGCTGCATCAGCAATGTGGGACTTTACTCAGTAATAAATTCAATTTTTATCTTTAAGTGGCAGAATAGGAACTTGCCACTGGAGACAGGAGGTGTCAATGCTCAAACGTCATATCTTTGTTCATGTCAAAGTAGAATTTGGATAACTATTTTTATGTACACATTTGGATATGTTATACTCAATAATGCAAACTTTTTCACTACACGTTTCCATTCAAGGTTTACTGTGATTCAAAGCTGTCAATGTTTCATTCGGACATACTATAGATTACACACACAAACTTAAAAAGTCCAAACATTACCACATATCCTTAGCAACATGGGTAGATGCTGTCCTGCTGCCATCTGTAATCCACCAGACTATTTTGAAGGTCCAGCCAGAGATGGAACACTCTCAGTTATTTTCCATCTGCGGGTGACTATGATATCAATGCCTGCTCTAAGTACACGCTTCAACACATCTACCCCAGCATGAAACAGACATGCTGTACTCACACGTTCAAAATGCTCCTGCAGACTGCATTTCATTTGCACTCTTTCTGCCGTTTCCATTCCTGAAGACGTGTTCAAGTACCTTCGCAGAGTTCCTATTTCTTCATCTGCATCGTCTCCAAGAAATATCCGCTCATCTAGATTCCCCACTGACAAGACATACTCCTCGTAGACCTTGTTGACAGATTTGCTACAGTAAAGGGGAAAGAGAAAGGGGCTGCACATCCAGATATAAGCTAATACAGCAGCACCAGGCACCTCTAAATAATAGCCAGCCACGAAGTTACAGCCCCAACTGGCATAAAAAGGTCTTCCTAGTTCACCCAGGAATTCTGTGTGCTGAGGAAGTCACACAGGCTTGGAATCACTTCAAAATGATAATACAGAAGTGGTTCTTTTGCCAAGAGGGACACGGAAGCCTACACGGTCTTCTACAAAATTAATAAACGTGTGGCTTTTATTAAACCTTGGTGTCAAACCGGAAATAAAGCGAGGTACGGAAATATACAAATAAGAGTGTGACAGAAAAAAAAGCCTAAATCAGAAGATTAAGCACATGGTCAGCTGTGTAAGGCCTTCAGCCTGACTACTATTAACAAGGCTGGTGAAATTGCCTCTCCTGATGTCTTAGCTATATACCATTTAATCTCTGGGTTTCAGGAGTGCATTAAAATTGCACTGACTGAATGGTGAATACAATATAACAATCTAGATATCTCCTCGAAGATGATGACGACCACGGTGTCCTTGTTAAAATGCCTTACGTTGACATACTCTGTGGTAAGAAGCTGAAAACGTGTAATCCAGGAAATCAAAATGGAATTTAAGCGACTGTCTAGTGGAACAAAGGTAAAAGTAAAGGTCTCCCTTGCTCAAAAGCCAGTGGAGTCCGACTCTAGGGTTGCGGTGCTCATCTCCGTTTTCAAGCCAAAGAGCCAGCGCTGTCCGAAAACGTTTCCGTGGTCATGTGGCCGGCATACTGTTGGTTGTGCTTTGATTTATTTTGCGTTGTTATGGCCAATGGCTAAGACAATAAACTAAACTTGAAACTACAATATAACAATCTAGATATCTCCTCGAAGATGATAATGACCACGGTGTCCTTGTTAAAATACCTTACGTTGACATACTCTGTTGTAAGAAGCTGAAAACGTGTAACCCAGGAAATCAAAATGGAATTTAAGCTACTGTCTGGTGGAACAAAGGTAAAGGTTCCCTTGCTTGAATGTGTGTTGCTTAGAAGTTAGACAAGTGGTTATGCACGTGTGGCCAGTGTCTCTCCATTGCCAAGCTGTTTTTTAAAAAAACAAAAGTGGAAAAGGAAACCCTAATCCACTGCAGCAAGTCTGTCCCGCACTGTACGTAGAAGAGACTATGAAAATGGCAACACGTTTTTTAACTATTTATTTATATACTGCATTTCTGCCACACTGGCTCCCCAAATGGCTTCCAATTAACACACGTCACAATGTGCAGTACAAGCAGGGAGAGGAACAGCCCCAATACTATCACTTAGTTCCCCCCTCCCCACATTTTTTTTCTTGCTTTGGTCAGTCTATTCCTTCTGTGTGACTCTTAGTTTGGTACAGTGGTTAAGTGCTCAGAGCACGCCTCCACTTACAGCTGCTGGATGATTTGTGTTGCTTAGAAGTTAGAAGAGAAAAGGGTTATGCAGGTGTGGCCAGTGTCTCTCCATTGCCAAGCTGTTTTTTAAAAAAACAAAAGTGGAAAAGGAAACCCTAATCCACTGCAGCAAGTCTGTCCCGCACTGTACGTAGAAGAGACTATGAAAATGGCAACACGTTTTTAAACTATTTATTTATATACTGCATTTCTGCCAAACTGACTCCCCAAATGGCTTCCAATTAACAGACGTCACAATGTGCAGTACAAGCAGGGAGAGGAACAGCCCCAATGCTATCACTTAGTTCCCCCCCCCCCACATTTTTTTTCTTGCTTTGGTCAGTCTATTCCTTCTGTGTGACTCTTAGTTTGGTACAGTGGTTAAGTGCTCAGAGCACGCCTCCACTTACAGCTGCTGGATGAACATGGGCAAGCCATAGTTCTCTCAGATGTGTTCTTGAAAAGAGCAGTTCTCTCAGAGCTCTCTCAGCCCCACCTACCTCACAGGGTGTCTGTTGTGGGGAGGGGAAGGGAAAGGAGTTTGTAAACCGTTCTGAGACTCCGTGTGAAGGGTGGGGTATAAATCCAATCTCTTCTTCTTCTATATTTAATTTACACAATACAATAAGCTTCTCTGAATGCTGCAGTTAACTGTTGGGGCTAGGCAGAACACTCAGAAGCTGGTGCAGTCGTATAGTAGAAATGGGGGAGAAATGTCCCAGATGTTACTCCTGCACTCCCACCCCCCCACCTTTTAGTGGCTGCTGGGTTCTAATAGCTGGATGGCATCCTTGCCCCGACCATCAGGATTTCCTTCCCAGATGGGCAATCCCAATGAGAAACTCAGGAGCACAGGTGCGCTTCCTCAGGAGTTAAGTTGCCCCAGCATTTAAGTCCTGGTGCAATACATCCATGTCTCTGTTTCAAGAATTTGGTTTGGAACTAGTTTCAAACTGGTATGCAGTTTATAGGGGGACCAGGCAAGAATGCTAAGTTGGGAGTAAGCAGAGTTGGGAGTAAGCAGTGAAGTGGCTAAATTTGCGGATGATATGAAGTTGTTCAGGGTGGTGAAAACTAGGGAAGATTGTGAGGCACTCCAAAGGGATCTGTCGAGGATGGGCAAGTGGGCGTCAACATGGCAAATGGGGTTCAATGTGGCCAAGTGCAAGGTGATGCACATTGGAGCCAAAAATCCTAAATATAAATACACATTGATGGGGTCTGAACTGGCAGAGACTGATCAAGAGAGAGATCTTGGAGTTGTAGTAGATAACTCACTGAAAATGTCGAGACAGTGTGTGACTGCAATAAAGAAGGCCAATGCTATGCTGGGGATTATTAGGAAGGGTATTGAAAACAGATCAGCCAATATTATAATGCTCACAATACAAGAATTCGTAGGCACTCCATGAAATTGCTGAGCGGTCAGGTTAGAACGGATAAGAGGAAGTACTTCTTCACCCAAAGAGTGATTAACACATGGAATTCACTGTCACAGGAAGTGGTGACGGCTACAAGCATGGATGACTTCAAAAGGGAATTAGATAAGCATATGGAGCAGAGGTCCATCAGTGGCTATTAGCCACAAGGTATAGATAGGGACTCTGGGGCAAGTGATGCTCTGTCTTCTTGGTGCTCGGG